TATAATAATATCGCCATATTGTTTTTCCTCATGCTGACATAAATGGGAGAAAATTTTATCCAGTTTGTATGTTAATGGAAATTCTTGCTTTGCTTTTTCATCACCATTACAAATGATTAAATCGACGCGAACGAAGTCGCTGGTACACGCTAGTATATAATATAAACAATTTTTTTTTTCGAATTTTAAACTATACACCATATAAAAATGAATTTTACCCAATATAAAAATAAATTTCAACCTTTTTCTCTTTCAACCTTCATCTAGGGCTTGACCTCGCCAAAATTATCATCGATTATCATTCCCTAGCCATCTCTGACACCGTTTTTTCTCGACCATACTCTCTTTTGCAGCTATCAAAAATAAACCTGTTGACCGTCTATAAAACCACCCAAAACACAATGTATCGTAATTAAATTAAAAGCATCCCGTATATTTACCGATAACTTTGGCTGGCAAAGGAGAGCAAAGACAATATTTGGCGTTCGTTAGGGTTTGGAAAACCCGCCACAGCGCTTTGTAAATTTTCCGATTCCGCCAAAATGAGAAGTTAGCGATTCAAATTGGTTTGATTAGCGAGCTCTCCGCTGGCGGATTTAGCAAATTAGCATGCTTTGACGCTTCGGAACAACAAAATGCGACTGTATTTTAAACGTAGCCACCTACCGACTTCTTTATTGCTGCTACAGAAATAATTCAGATGGCTTCCTTTTTGCTGAGTGAACATTTTAGCAATGGAAATCAAGCAAACGTTAATTAATTTCAAGTGATTTTTTCTAATATGCTGTTCAGTAGAAAATCTTCTCTTTAAAACTGGGCAACGCTGTACCGGTCAAGCTTAATCACGTGGCTAAAAGTTTATTTGATATGAACTATATACAGGGTGGTCCAAACTGTATTCCGGAAACTTCGGCAGCATATTCTACTAATAAAAATAAGTAAAAAAGTTCATATAAATGTATGTCCTAAAATACTTACAGTGGTGGCCAAAAGTATGGAAACTTTTTTAATTTGTCATTTATGCTGAGAAATTAAAATATGAAATAAAACGACTTATATAATCGTGACCTACAAATAATTTCCTACAAAACCTAATACATATCAAAAAATATATAAAAAATTATGAATATTTTCTTGGTCAAAAGTATGGAAACTTAAGAAGAATGTTTATTAAAATTCAAGATAATGTAAAAATTACTAATATTTAGTGGAATATCCCTTTTTTTATATATCCCTTTTGAATTAATTACTTCTCTACATCTTCGTGGCATCGAATCGATCAATCTCGTACAATCTTTACTGGAAATGCCCGCCCATTCAGTTGTTAGCACTTCCCATAATTCATTTTTATTTGAAATAGAATGGCTTCGAATTTTGCTATCCAAATGATCCCATAAATTTTCTATGGGGTTAAGATCCGGAGACTGTGAGGGCCAATCCATTAGTGGAACATTATGTTCATTTAACCAATTTTGAACAAACCGAGATTTGTGCTTGGGATCATTGTCTTGCTCGAACAACCATCTGAGTGGCATTTCTTCATCAGCATGAGGCAGTATATTATTCTCCAATATGTCTTTGTACAAAAAAACGGTCCATTATCCCATCAATTTTAACAAGAGAACCAACACCTGAGCGAGAAAAACACCCCCATACCATTATACTCCCACCCCCATGTTTTACTGTGGGCATCTGGCTGTACCGTGTACCTTTTGGTCTTCGAACATAACGTCTCCCGTCACTACCAAACAGTTGAAACTTGCTTTCGTCGCTAAACAGTACAGTATTCCATTTCTAATAAGACCAGGTGAGATGATCTTGAGCAAATTTAAAGCGGGCCATCCTATTATTCTTTGATATTAGTGGTTTCTTCACCGCAACTCTTCCAAAAAGTCCCATGTCATCCAACCTTCTTCTCACCGTGCGTGCAGATACCGATATTCCCCTTTCACCCATTTCTCGAGAAATGTCTGTGGATGTTTTTCTTGGATCTCCCATTGATATTCTCTTCATTACTTTCATTGTCCTGTTGCACAACTTTCTTGGTCTTCCTGACTTAAAAGCTGTTGAAACGTTCCCTGTTTTATTAAATTTACGAATTATTTTCGAAACGGTGCTTCTTAAAATGTTTAAATTTTTACTTATTTGAATTTGTTTATAACCGCTCTTGTATAATTCAACTATTTTATTTTTTAAATCCGTAGAGAAATATTTAGACTTGGGCATGATGTTTATATTTATCTGAAGCAAATCGTACCGTTTATCAGCTTAAACTAAATAATTTTAATGTATTTATTTATAGTTTCCATACTTTTGGCTACAAGAAATCTATTGTTCTCCTACAAAAACTGCCAAACAGATTTTTTTCGCTGTGTAATTTTTGGAATACTTTTATTTGCTGATAAGCTGTTCATTTATATTCCTGAGAGTTTAAGCATAGCAATATTTTCTGTGATATTTTAAAAAGTAAAAAGTTTCCATACTTTTGGCCACCACTGTAGTTTCGGAGATATAGATACAATTTTTTTACTTATTTTTATCTGCAGAATATGCTGGCAAAGTTTCCGGAATACACTTCGGACCACCCTGTATATTTTCTTTCCTTTTTCTTACTTTATTATATTAACTCATAATGTGCGAGAATGAAAGCCTTTATATAAAACTCTGTAAATATTTGTTTGTTCCTTTTATTTCGCTGGCTTTTGTTATTAGTTTTAATATTTTCTTAGTAAATATTAAAGAAAATAGCGGTGTTCTGTTGGAGCGTGTTTAGAGTTTAGAGTTTCAAATAATATGATAGTTTTGGGGTATGATCAAATAATTTTTTCGTCAGAGTGGGATCTACACTATGTCCCCGGATTGTCTTTATAAGAGGAAATACTTTTTTATTATTGACATTTAGAGAAAAATGCATTCTTCTGTTGTTATTTAGAACACCCTGTGTACCTTAACTCACAGAATACATGAATACATGTATGTCGTGCTCAGGTCAAATTAATGCTAATTTTAGAATAATTATCTCATAAATTTTCTTAACCGTTACAGTTTTTCTCTGTAAAATTGCGAAGTTAAAAGACCAGGTATAAGTGAAGTAAATTTTGATTTACATAAAAATAATATTAATTCTAATAAGGTATGATTTAAAACCCATTTAACTTTTTTTAGAAATATACAGTTATGTGTTTTCTAATTTCACTAAAATTAAACATGCACTGAATATTATGTAAAGATAGCTTTACATGATATTCAGTGCATTTGTATTGTTTACGCGCTTTAAAGGGCTTGTAAACAATCTCTTTGTTAACTTAATTAGTTATTTGAGAACAAGGATAACTCACAAATTTTGCAAGATGCATTATGGTATCAAGCAAGTGGAAATTTTCAATCAAAATCCAATTTTGAATGTTGTTTATTAATTTAATCCTGTGGAAAATTTTATGTATTTATACAGGGTGAGTTTTCTACGATGTTATCTATGGGTATCTCCGAAACTACTACTGGAGATAGAGATTTTCAACTACAATAACAAATCTATACTAATATATAAAATCCTTAAGTGACTGACTCACTGATTAATCACGATCCTGCTCAAACCACTCAACGTAAGAAGCTCAATTTTGGCATACAGATCGATTCTAGGGTGTAGAGGTTCGATAAGAAGGGATTTTTAGAAATTCCAGTTCCAAGAGGGTGAAAACACTCCGCAATATTTTTTATTTAAAAAACGGTCAAGTTTTCGAAAAAACCGCTTAAACACGTATATTTTATTTCGTTTTTTTACATATTTTAAGATTTTTTAAAAATGTATACAGGGTGTTTGGAAAAATCTGGTCATTGATTAATCACCATCCTGCTTAAAGCGCTTGACGTAAAAAGCTGATTTTTGGAAAACGGATTGACTTTGGGGTGTAGAGGTTCAATAAGAAGGGATTTTCCGAAACTCGAATTCTAAGAGGGTGAAACCACCCCTCAAATATCAGAATATTTTTTATCTAAAAACCGGTGAGTTTTTCGGAAAAACTCTTAAACACGTATATTTTATTTTGTTGTTTTACATATTTTTTACAAGATTTTTTAAAAATTTATACAGGGTGTTTCAAAAAATATGACCATTGAGTAATCACGATTCTGCTTAAACTGCTTGACGTTTAAAGCTGATTTTTGGCAAACAGGTTGACTGTGTTGTGTAGAGGTTCGATAAGGAGAGGTTTCTCGAATCTCAAATTCCAAGAGGGTGAAAACGCCCCCTAAATATTACAATATCTGTTATTTAAAAAACTTTCGGGAAAACGCTTGGACACGTATAATTTAGTTTGTTTTTTTACATATTTTGAAATTTTTAAAAAATCATATGTGGTGTTCCAAAAAGTTGGGTAATTGATTAACCACGATTCTGCTTAAACTGCTTGACGTAAGAAGCTTATTTTTGGCAAACGGATTTTTCGAAAGTCAGATTCCAACGAGATGAAACTACCTCTCAAATATTACCAAGTTATATAATAATATCACCATATTGTTTTTTCTCATGCTGACATAAATGTGAGAAAATCTTATCCAGTTTGTATGTTAATGGAAATTCTTGCTTTGCTTTATCATCACTTTTACAAATACTTCAAAAAAATAACATACAAAAAATCTTCCATTAATATCAAACTACAGCAGAGGTAATACAATTTTCATCCCGCTGATATTACCGAGATTGGCCTTTGTAAAAGTCGGAAAGCTCTAGTAATTCTCTATCTTTATAGAGAAATCTCCCGGCTCTTAATAGAGAACGTACAATGTACCTGTTGCTCTAGAAAGTGTTGGTCGGCGCTGATAGATGAGTCAATTTCGCGAACTGAAACTCATTTTTCTCTATTTCTTTAAAAAAAACTGCAAGTGTAAAAAGTGGTAAAGCCAAGATAAATTTCCGGCAATTTTTTTAAAGTTCTATCAAAAATTTTCATTAGAAATCTGTATTAAAAATATTTTTGCGTAATACAAAAAAAAACACTTACCTAAGTTGATAGTTTCTTCTTCATAAAGTGTCATGTTATGTATAGGGTGTCCTAAATTGGAAGCAACCATTGGAATCTCGGAAACTATAAAAGATAAGAAGATAATTAGGACAGAGTATCGCAATTTTATGTCACTAGAATAATATTTTGAAAATTAGTTGTTCTTGTGCTGATGTAAAATAGTGAACAAATAGCTATGAAATAGTTTAAAGCTAGTTAGTTTAAAGATGATAAGTATTTTTTTATTAATTGTTGGATATACAGGGTGGTCCGAACTGTATTCCGGAAATTTCGGCAGCATATTCTGCAGATAAAAATAAGTAAAAAAGTTCCTATAAATATATGTCCTAAATGCTTAGTTTCGGAGATACAGGGTGTAAAAGTTTCATATTTATTTCCATTTTTTCCAAATAATTTCTGTAGTAACGTCAATATATGGATGAAAATTAGCGTCTTGAAGTTTTTTGACATGAGAAATTTGATTTTGATGTCAATATGACTCCTACTTGTAGAGGGCGCCACCTACATATTTTTTAACTGGTTTGAAGAGTAATAACTTTTCGTCCGTACCTGTATAAAATTATTGAGTAAAAAAATATACATTTACGACGTTTTTTACGTAAAAAAAGTCTCTTGGTAAAAATCGCTACAAATAATGGTTCTCGAGATATTTGAAATCGAAATTATCAATACGTCATCACTGACATAAAGTAAACGTGTTGAGTAAATAGTTATTAGACTGAAATTATAAATTTAAAATGTTTTTGTATCAAAAATTCAACAGAAACTGTTTTATCATAATTTTTATGATTAATTTAAAAAAAAAATAAAGATTTCCCAAATTTATTATTTCAGTCAAATAACTATATCTACTCACACACAACGGGTTTATTTTTGTCAATTATGACATGTATTGACTATTTCCATTCTAAATATCGTCCCATTGCTGCCAAAAGTCACTAACTTACTTTTTATTACTTCCGAGAAAAATGCGTCTAAAAATGAATTGCATTGCATAAAGATGTTATAGTTAGGAACTATTCGGTATTTAAATAAAACATAAATAGCCAAAAATCGTAGTTAATGACTTTTGCAATCGATTCTCCGCTTCAAAATATAGTTAGTGATTGAATTTGGTTGTTCCGAAAAATGTTAGTTAGTGACTTTTGGCAGCAATAGGACGATATCTTGAGAACGGTTGCTCGTAGCGATTTTAACCAAGAGACATTTTTTACGTAAAAAGTTACGAAAATGTACATTTTTTTACTCAGTAGTTTTAAACAGGTACGGACGAAAAGTTATTACTCTTCAAAACAGTTAAAACACAAGTAGGTGGTGCCTCCTACAAATAGGAGTCATATTGACATCAAAATCAAATTTCTCATGTTAAAAAACTCCCACACACCATCCATCCAAATATTGACGTTACTTCAGAAATTATTTGGAAAAAATCGAAATAAAAATAAAACTTCTACACCCTGTATATCCGAAATTAAGCATCTAAAGACATACATTTATACGAACTTTTTTACTTCTTTTTATCTGCAGAATATGCTGCCAAAGTTTCCGGAATACAGTTCGGACCACCCTGTATAGTATTAAGAACATATTATCAAGTCCGTATTCAATTGACATTCCTGTTAAATGTGGAAAACTTTACAAATTATTAACAAAAAGCTCTCGGTCCTTTGAATATATTTTAGAACTACTCGAAGTTTATCTATTTCTCTTCTAATTTCGAGTATTTAGTAAATAACCTAATGAAAACTATTCGCCTCCACTCAAGAGCCCTTAAAGTCCATTAACCTGTAGCACCGGCATAATGGAAACTCCTTCCCCAAAAACGGAAGCAACACAGCGTCGGCCGAATCGATGTCCTTTGAATAATAAAGCCCCCATGAATATATCTAACCACTTCAGAGGGAAGGCCCGTCTGTACGTGCATCCAGCCCCCAGGCCATGCATTTAAATATGGAGAGAAAGCAAGGAAGGGCCCCAAGCCCTATACGCGATCAACTTAAAGAAACCACCTTTCATAGGATATCCACGGAGATGGAGGGAAACAAACGTATTTTGGAACTTTGTGTGTTCGGGTTGTTTAAGACGGATACAATGGACGTTTGAACGGAATTGTGCTTAGAATGGTGAACAATTGGCTTTGAAATGGTTAAAACTAGTTAGTTTATCTAGGTACAGATGGAAATACAGAGGGTTTATTTTAAATAAATTCATTTATTTTAACTGATCATATATTTCGAACCCTAGAAACAGGCCCTTGAGGTTTTTTGCTAAAAAAAATTACAAAATTTTAATAGTTCTTTATGGTACTAGTGTGTTATCTCACATATAAGTCGCGCTGGGAAATGGGAAATGTTTAGCTTTTCTCAAGGGCTAATTTTCTCAAGTGACTTATACCGGGTGTTGCATCGTGGAGCGGGACATAGGAAATCCCATGTAAATTTTAATGGGGTCAATTATTGGCTTCTCTAATTATTTTAGAGAATAATTCTATTTAGGTTTATTGAAGAGCACTAAAACCCACATTCAAAAGAATAACTTTAGATATTTTTTATTAGCCCGTTTATGAGTTACCGCCGATTTCTTTTTATATATTTCTCCTTTCTTATTATTGGCCCTGTATTTACTTATGAGCACCAGTCAAGGTAAAAGATAACTGTCAAATGAAGTTGTCATTTCAGAAATTTATCTATTTAGTGCTTTATTATTATTATTAAAAACTCATACCTACATCGAAAATATTAGCCATGCATTACACTACCGAAGAAAAAGTATTGATGATTAAATGGTATTATCAAGGAAATAGTTATTCAAAAGGGGTCGAACATGTTTGCTGCTCTGTATCCGAATAGACCGATACCTGGAAAATCTACAATCGCAAGGAATATCCAGAGATTTGAGACCAAAGGTACCCTAATAAATAACTGCAGATGTGAAGCAAGGCAGGAACAATGAGAAGATGCAAGAAATGATACTGACTTGGAAGTTTTATTGTGCGTGGAAGAGAACGATGGAAAGATCAGCACAGGAAACTTGAGGATGAAATAGGAATAGATCACACTACAGCGTTTCGAATTTTCAAACGATATAAATACTATTCCTTCAAATATGAAAAGCACCAAGAGCTACGAGATGGGGACGAAATACGGCGGCAGGCGTTTTGTTTTGATATGATGGAAAGAGCAAACACGGATAGGGATTTTTTAAAAAACATATGTTTCACTGACGAATGCACGTTTACCTTAAATAATGAACCCGGTGTTCAAAATTATCGATATTGGAACAAAGAAAACCAACACAGGTTTGTCGAAACAAGGACGCAATATACACAGAAAGTAAATGTTTGGGCAGGGATATTCGGGCACGATATTATCGGGCTATTATTTCTTACGCGAAAATTAAATGCAGAATATTATTTCGAACTACTCGAAAATCATATTTTACCTGCTTTACATGATGCCGCTAGGGAAAATCAGGAAGTTTGGTACCAAATGGATGGCTACCCGGCACATAGTACCCTGGCTGTTCGGGAATATTTAGAAAATAGTTTTAACGGAAACGTTATTGGCCTAAATCATACAGTAAATTGGCCAGCAAGGTCTCCTGATATTTCGCCAAATGATTTCTTTCTCTGGGGCCATTTAAAAAATAGGATATACAAGGATAAAAAATACCCAAATCTAGACGAGTTAAAAAATGGTATTTCTGCCGAATGCAATAGAATTTCAGTTTACCAACTAGCGAATGTAAGAAGAGAATTTTATGATCGCCTGGGTTATTGTCTAGCAGTCGATGGAGGAATATTTGAACATCTTCTTAAATCCTAAAGTTCTAACAACTTAATAGTACCTAAATTAATAAGTTATTGAATATTGTAATAATACTATAATTAACCTTTGTAAGTGATTACTTTAGTTTACTTTAATTCATATTAATTTGTATTTATAAATACATCTTTAAGATTTCCCATGTAGGAATGAGTTTTCAATAATAATAAAGCACTAAATAGGTAAATTTCTGAAATGACCACTTCATTTGTCAGTTATCTTTTACCTTGACTGGTGCTCATAAGTAAATACAGGGCCATAAGAAAGGAGAAATATTTAAAAAGAAATCCGGCGATAACTCGTAAACGAACTAATCAAAAATATCTAAAGTTATTCTTTTGAATGTGGATTTTAGTGCTCTTCAATAAACCTAAGTAGAATTATTCTCTAAAATAATTAGGGAAGCCAATAATTGACCCCATTAAAATTTACATGGGATTTCCTATGTCCCGTGCGACGATGCAACACCCGGTATGTTATAACACGCGAGTACCATACAATATTTTATCCAACAGAAGAACTGTTCCATGTCTAATCTCTAAAGATTAATTGATTTAAAAGGATCTACCAGTTCTCAGCAAGTCAGATTTTAAAGAAAAATGATTCAGGAAGATCTTCCGCAAGTACTTGGGCCTACAACATCCTGAGCAATACAATGGCCATTGTATGAGAAAATCATCCGCTACATTACTGGCAAATGCAGGAGTGACAACATGACAACGTCAAAAAGACACGGAGGATAGTGATCTGCAACGGTTGCGGAAGGATATATCGAAGAGTCCATCAACAATAAAATAGAGATTGCGAAAAAGATTCAAGGTGCTGTAAGTGTTCCAGAACGAGCCGTTATAATGACAGAGCCTATTTCAAGCAGTTGAGGGACAGCATCTGGAGGCATACAATGTTTTACAATTTCTGAATCTACAAAAAAAATCATTTTCATTTAATGTTAATGTTAATTTAAATAAATAATTGAATTAGTAATTTACGAATAAAGCTTAATAATTTCCATAAAATGGTGATAATATTCTGATAATATTCTGTGCATTTAACCCTTATTACTAGATATTAAAAAAAATAACTGCAAAACAAAACAAGGTGAATATAAAACTTTATGGGAAAATGTGTAAAAACTGTAGCGGCAATTTTGCTCACGTACACGTGCTATAATAAAAAAGAAATATTCCGCGCTTACTTAAAGGTTTAGGGTGGTTTTCTTTTTAGTTTAACAGCTATTAAAATAACAGTCACAGTTAACAACTAAGTTAATTATAAGAGTATGCTTTTTTTATTTTAACCTTTATAGGAATTTTCATTTCTTAGGCTAGTATTACACTATACTATTTCTTTTTCGAAGATTTTATTTTTTTTGTCAGATCAAATAAATAAGAAAAAGCTTTAAACAGAATATTTCAACAGAAAAATAAGGCTATATGCTTTAGTTAACGTTAGTTAAATAATGAGGAAACATTTAAGTACAGAGTGGGTCAAATTCGACGCTTTTAAATGGAAACATCCTTTTCTATAGGAGATAGACGAAAACTAATATCGGTGTCTGTAGCTCAATTTTCATCAAAAACATGATGGTGAAAACCGCACATCAATATCTGTTACCGTTTAGGAGTTACAGGGTGTTTTTCAAAAATGTGCATTTTTAACAAATCGCTGTAACTTTTTTGCTATGGAAAATTTTGCATTTCTATGAAAACATATCCAAAGCATCTTTTTACGTAGAATTTAATGGTATAAGTATAATTTTTTTAAAATTAATAATTTAAGAGTTATCAGCAGAAAAATTGATTTTTTATTAGGAAAACCCTCTATATTTTTAATTAACCGAAAAGAATTTAAAATTACCTTTCCAAAAATATAGCACACTTGATATTTTGTTATATTCCCCTTTGAAATACAGAATTTTTAAAAGTTCGCCACTTTTAACTAGTAGGCTTTGGACCCCCCTTATTGATGATATGGCCTTAATGGAACTCGAAAACATATTTTTCCAGCAAGAAGAGGCACCGCCTCAGAACGCTGAAGTTATCAACAAATTTTTGCAGCCAATTTCAAGAATAATTGAATAGCTAACCGGGATCCCAGCTGCTGGCCATCGAGGCCACCTGACTTAGTGCCCATGGATCTAACCCTATAGATATATTTGCGGAAGAATAAAGGTTCCTTATTCTTCCGTATAATCTAGACAAGAATTAAAAATACTTAGCAGTTATGAGAGGGATTCTCTCACCTCCACTGAGTTAAGGAATTCCGCGAGAAATGTTCAGAAACGGCCCCGTCTGTCCATAACAGAAGATAGTCGATATAACAGAAGGTTTGCATGTCTTGGTTTGCTATTTATTTTTATTGTTATCAGATATAGTTTAAATGTGTTGATACTGTTGATGTTGGTTAAATATATTTTAAATTGTTATAAAATTCTGCATCTCTCATAGCAAATAGTATTTTCGTTTTAATTGATGCTCACAGATAGATTTTTTTTGCATTACAGCCGGTGCCGTTCAAAGCCTACTTAATTAAAGCGGGCGAATTTTTGTATACTCTATATCTCGAAGAGGAATCGAGCAAGTGTTATATTTTTGGAAAGATAATTTTAAATTCTTTTCAATAAATTAAAGACATACAGGGTGTCTCATATAAAAAATCAAATTTTCTGTTGATAATTGTTAAATAATTAATTTTAAAAAAATTATACTTAAACCATTAAATTCTACGTAAAAAGCTGCGCAATCACGACCTGATCGTCTGCGAAGCTCAGGGTAAATAGTGTGTTGTCCCCAATGGGTATTCCCATACCTTGACATTTCGTCTTCCATTCCCTAAGTGCTACTTCGACGTAAGCGTTGAAGATCAGAGGAGATAAGCTGCATCCTTGTCGCAACCCTTTTGTGGTGTTAATTGGATTAGATAGCCTGTGTCCTATCTTAACGTACGATTCATTTTCTTTATATAGCTCTTTTATTATATTAAGCAAAGGTCTATCTACTTCTAAGATATTCAAGACTTCCCATATCTTGCTGCGGGGAATAGAGTCGTACGCTTTCTCCAAATCAATAAATGCTAGATGGACTTCTTGATCTACTGCTATCTTTTTTCCATCACCTGCTGCAGGACAAAAAGGTTATCTGTGCAAGATTTCCCCGGTGTGAATCCGCTTTGGTCTTCCGAGATTTTGTCACCAATACTGTCCCTGAGCCTACCCTGTAGCACCTTTCCAAAAGTCTGCTGACCAAACTGTTAATGCTTAGGCCTCTATAACAAGTGGGGTCGTTACGATTTCCTTTTTAAAGATGGACACTATGTGAGCCACTCGCCATTCTCGGGGTAGTTTACTTTGCAGGCAGCACTGGTTAAATAGCTCTGCCAGACGCCAGCGCAGTCTTTGGGTTCCACACTTTAACAATTCCGCTACAATATTACCAGGACCTGGTGACCGTCCATTTTTCATTCTTTTGAGACTTTGATGTACTTCTCTTTCGCTTATCATTAAAGTGCCTGCAAGGTTGTTCTCATCTTCTACTGCTTGGAATTCTGGTCGGTTTTCTGTCAGTAATTCTGCATAGTAGTTGCGCCATTTTTCTATATCCATTCTATTCAAGAACTTGTCCGTTTGATTGGTTTTCATTTGTCGGATTGTTCTCCATACCTCAGTACTCCGTGCGCCCCCTATTAGGCTTTCCACTTGCTGGCACAAGACTTACAAACCAATGTTCTGTCACAAGACTTACAAACCAAAAAACATCCATGCGTCTCGAACGGTAGTATAATAGCTATTACTTAATACCTATTAGCTCTTTTCGTCGTCTGATTTCTCTCTCTCCGGTTTTGTAAAAAATATTTTAGAAATCAATAATTTTATTTATGTATACAAGGTGTCTTAAATTGAATGTATTGAATTTAAAGAAATATATTTATTTTTAAATAATAGGCGGTTAATCTCATTTAGAAAACATTGTTTCAATTTTTTACGATGTGATTTTTATGGATGTAATATTATGCTTTTAACAGAAGAAAACAACACCCTGTAATACATTTATTTAGATATAAAAGTTCATCTATACTTAACCTGCCAATCTACCTCATGTTTATAAACATTTTTTTTAAAGAAAAATACTCGGTTTAAGTCAAAAATTTATTAAATTTTGACATGAATTATATGATGCGGGATGCTATTGCTTTCAGTATTGTATTTTTTGGCAGTTTTCAACCTACACATATGAGATTTTTGCGTGAGAGGGGCGTATAATAAACTTTTAGAGTTATACAGGATGTCTCTTAAATAAGAGCAAGTATTTTAATGGTTAGTTAGATCTTAGATCGTTTATAACTCAAAAACGGCATTAAAGAATAGAAATTCAATGGAAAATAGTGGGAAAATTTTTATTCAAATCTAGAAAAATACTTGTTAAGTTGTATAAAGCTTTGTATCTAAGATAAGATTGGCATTATCTGTTCTAATATTGCTCTAAGTAAAAATATTATTATTTTATTAAAATTACAGGGTATAACAAAAAAATCATCGTTTTTTGGTGACAGAAATCTTTTATTTATACACACTGCTTAATCCACTCGACAGCAACCCACTCAAAGGCCTACCAAATCCAAAATTCTGACTAGTTTCCCTCGTCGCATCTCCTAGAACTTGAAACTCACTCCTCGCAAAATTCCCCACATTCTGAGCGGTTTTCTGAGCTGTATTCAACCCAGTTTTAAACAGCCCCAAAACCGAAGGTTTCTGATCCGTTCCGGCAGAAAAACCTGGCAAAATTTTAGGCAAATTCAACGCGGGTTTTCTTGATTCTATCTTGACATTTCCTCCGTTACCTCCACCACCTGTTTCTTCTGTTTTAGACGACCCCTCTTCAGTATCGATATGAAATCGAAACGGTGATTGTGTGGAAACTGAAGAATTGCTGTTTTGTCGGACGTTTCTTGAGTTAGTCGAATTTGATATGGAGTTCTGTGAAAGTAGGTCGTTAACAAACTCATTACCGGTTACCAGAGTTTGGGATGGTGAAGGGGTAGGTCTGTTGGCAATAAGTCCACTGGCAAGTTCTTGTTGAGAGACTAGGTTGAAATCGGGGAATCTTGCTTCGTTTCCTGAGGTGTTTTCGAGGATGTGATCCAAGTTCGGTAAGTCAGCACCGTTGTCGAAGTCCGCGAAATTGCCAAGGTTTGTTTGGAACGTTGTAGGTGGGTTTCTGGTGTTGGCAGTGTCCTCAAATTGTTTTAGTTTGTCTGTGTAGAACGAGGCATACAGAGGGTGCCGTTTGGCTACAAAAAAGGAAATACAAATATAGGAATTCAACTGGTTAATTTTTTTAAAAGTTTTTAAAACTTAGTATACCGAGAGCTTAAAATTCAACTCTCACAATTGGGATCTGGGAAACGGTAAGAGATACAGGGTGGCTTAAATTGGGCTAAAGTTGCCTGTTAGCAGTGTTGCCGACTTTCTGAAATAGTTTTTCCCACGAAGACGGTCAAAATTACCTTTTTTTTTCTAAAAATTCCCTATGTATTTTTAACTGAAACAGACACAACAAGAATAATGTCTGATACCAATCGAAAATGTGTATTTAGTTGCGGTTATGTTAGTTTGCATTTACTCACTTTGCTAAGAAATGCGTATACGATAACTATTTTTTTACGAATAATACATGTTTTTAGAATTTTCCACAAATATGGTGTTGTGGGTTAAAATTTCACTTTTCCAGAGGGAAAAGGTACTGGTAGTATAGTTCAACCCCAGAAACACGCCTATGTTTTTTTTCGCGAAAAAAATTTTGAAAATTCGAAATTTTTTGAACAATTTTTTTGAAATTTTTTAGTTTTTAGTTTAAAAACATAATTTCTTTAAAGGAATTCCAGAAAAGATCCAAATTTTTCTCAATTTTTTTTTTTAAAATTATTTTTTATTTTAAAAAATCATTTTCTTGGAAATTTTCAAAGTAAAGTAACTCCGTTATTTTGGACTTATTTGAAAAACGATAAAGAGAAAATATGTTTCCTTTATCGACATCTACCACTCCTTAAAATACTTGTACTTACTTCTGGGACACCCTGTATACAGGATGAGTCTTATATGACTGCAAATATTTTCAGGGCTGGTAGATTTTGATAAAAGAAACATACTTTCTCTTTACCGTTTTTCACGAGTTATTTTACTTAATTTGAAAATTTCCAAAAAAAAAGTTTTTTTCTTAAATTTTGAGAACCGCTATGTGTTTTATTTCTTGTATATTTATTTTAATCTACTACCTATGTTGCCATATTATCAGGAAATTATGTTTTTTAAGTAAAAAACTAAAAAAATTCAAAATTTTCTTTTTGTGATAAAACCTCAGAGTCGTGTTTCTGGAGTCGGATCAGTGTCGTTCTAATTTTATTTAAAAATTGTAAAACTATGATGTAGGGTAGACGTGAGGTAGACTCAATAATTTGTTGTTTTATTTTACGTTCTGAATAAATGTTGGTAGTTATTAAAATTCTTATAAAAATATATAATTCTAATAAAAATTGATAAGTGATAATAAGTATTTATTAACACAAACATCCGATACGCTACTGAAGCAGGTAAGTCAAATTAACGTATCTAAATTCTTTGACATCTAATCTTTGACAAGTAATAAATAAAAGCTAAAATGCAAGAAAAATATACAATTTAGTTAATTTAAGAGAATTTCATAAATGATCGGTTTACTACACGTATGTATATTATATAGTCACTTACTAGCGAAAAGTTGTTCCATTATTTAATTTAATTTTTGCCGAGATCTACCGCACGCTACACAACCAACTATTTTAGAGTCTTTTTCGATAAATCGCGATAGTGTCACTGTTAATTTAAGTTCTGCAACAATTTCCATCTAGATTTACTACCTCTATACAATTATCAGTAGTAGAATAAATAATAAATAACATAAAATAAGCTAAACTTTCAAATCAAATTCAAATGTGTCAAATGAATCGTCAAACAGAACTGTCAAGGATCCCCACCCTAGAGTGCTTTTTCCGCCCACCATGCATGAATACATGGATAGCATTATACTCCTTCCTGAGTCTTCTTATTCAAAGCTTAAAACTAACTAATTATATATATTTTTTTACAATTTTGTGTTTATTTACTACTTGTCAAAGATTAGACGTCAAAGAATTTGGATACGTCAGTTTGACTTACCTCTGCTTCAGTAGCGTATCAGTCGTTTGTGTTATTAATAATTATTATAACTTATATATATATATATATATATATATATATATATATATATATATATATATATATATATATATATATATATATATATATATATATATATATATATATATATATATATATATATATATATATATATATATATATATATATATATTTTTTTTTTATTAGAATTACATATTTTTATAACAATTTTACTAACTACCAACATTCATTGACAATGTAAAATAAAACAACAAATTTTATTGAGTCTACCCTACATCATATTTTTACACGTTTTGAATAAAATTGGAACGGCACTGATTAACCGGAATATAAGTCGGCCATTTTTTTATACCCCAAGTTTTTATACCCCTTCCTTAATTTCTTTATTCAAAGTATAAGAAGGTATTTGTAGATTTTTGCTAACTGTCAAAATACACTCACAGTAAAGAGGAAAAGAAAAATCGGAAGTTTCAGTTTTTTTCGCCAATTTAAGCCACCCTGTTTGTATTACACCCTGTATATTTTCTTTCATTAAAAAATTATATCCTTTAATGCTTTACCAAGAAATCTCTCTGTATTTTACAACAAAATATACTTACCGAATAAAAGATGATTACGAAATCCAAGCACATTACTTTCAAACACCGCCAAAATCAACAACCCCAAAACAAACATTTTTTAAAATAATTATTCTGCACCTATACTGACTTAAACTGATCTAATCATGACCAGAACTGATGAGATAAATATTTCCCTAACGGATATAAAGCTAATAGTCCTCGCCATGGATTCTCCCATTTTTTTTTTCTATGCTATTATCCGTTTTATACCGTGAAATCCATTATAAACCTTTCAACAATGCAGTTAATAGAGTGTTGAAACTAAATTAATAAAGAGTGTATTGGGTTTTTTACGTTGCCGTTTCATTATTATTATTATGCACGTTCATATTTACTTTGAAATGGTACGTATAATTTTATTACAAACGAAAACGCAACGTATCGATGTATTTAATTACACAATTATTTGAATTAATAATATTGAAACCGCGCTTTCAGTGGAACTGTCAAGGGAAAAAACGGAATAGTATTTGAGTTACATCGGTAAATGTCAAAAAAGTTTGTGGCATATTGTGTAACGTGTGTGGGCTTTATGGATTTTAATATTTAAAAAGAAATTATAAAAATAACGAATAAACCCTATAATATACAGGGTGGGACTTAAAAAAGTGCAAATATTTCTAGTGGTGGCGCAAAAGTGGCTTACCTCTATAACTTTGTAGTGTCATCATCATTATCATTTAGCTTATACCGTCCACTGCTGAACAAAAGCCTCCCTTAACTCTAGCCATTTCCTTCTATTTTGTGCCACTTGAATCCAGTTTCCAGCCACCCTCTTAATGTCATCTGTCCATCGACTAGGAGGTCGTCCTCTGCTTCTATAGGCCTCGTGTCTCGGTCTCCATTCCACAAGTCTCTTTGTCCACCGTCCATCTGTCATCCTAGCCACATGTCCTGCCCAATTCCATTTAAGATGTAAGACAGATATCACCGCATCTCTTACTCCTGTTCGATTTCGTATTGTATGATTGGGTATTTTATCTCTGAGTGTAACTCCCAACATAGACCTTTCCATTTTCCGTTGCATGACCTGTATTCTATGTATGTTCTTTTTTGTCAAAGTAAGCGTTTCAGCGCCATACGTGAGGACAGGCAAGACACACTGGTTAAAGATCTTTCTTCTTAAACATATGGGAATATCAGATCTCAGTATATGCCTTAGTTTGCCAAATGCCGCCCACGACAAACCTATTCTTCGTAGAATTTCGTGGGTCTGATTATCCCTTCTAATACCGATCTCATGCCCTAAGTATTTATATATATGCACTTGTTCCAAAGGTATGTTATTAATGTTTAAATTTCCACTTAGTACTAGGTTTGTCATGTATTGTGTCTTTGACAAGTTAATTTTCAAACCGACTTTTTCCGAAGCATCATTCAGCATATCCAGCATATTCTGTGCCTCCTGTATGTTGTCTGTTATTAAAATAATGTCATCTGCAAAACAGAGATGATTTATCAATTTGCCATCGATGTTAATTCCTGTTGAATCCCAGTTTATCATTTTTAGCATACTTTCTAGCACAGCAACGAATAGTTTAGGGGACAGTGTGTCGCCTTGTCTTACCCCTCGATCGATATTGAATTTATCTGTGCATTGATTTGTCGATATTCTGACGTTTGCCGTGGCATTATCATATATATGTCTTATGATTGAGGAGTATCGATGATCGATGCGACTCTCACTTAGTGTCTCTAGAAGCTTCCGCTGGTCTACCGAATCGAAGGCCTTCTCGAAATCCACGAAGACAAGCATTAGTGGTCTATTATACTCAATGCATTTCTCGATAAGGACCTTGACTGTTAGAAGATGGTCATTTGTTCCGTAACCTGATCGGAAACCTGCTTGTTCGCTCGAAAGAAAAAAGTCTATTTTATTTGTCAAACGCTTGGTGAGTATTTTAGTAAATAATTTGTATACGTGGCTAAGAAGGCTGATGGGCCTATAGTTTTTAAGGTCTGTAACGTCACCTTTCTTGTGTACAATAATGATGGTTGCGTTGTTCCACTGTGATGGGGTTATTTCTTCTTCAATGCATTTATTAAATAGGACATTTAAAGCTTTGATGATTTCTGGTCCTCCTTCTTGGATTGACTCTATTACCAGTCCATCGTCGCCGGCAGCTCTATTGTTTTTCATATCTCTAAGGGCACTGATAATTTCTTCCTCGGTTACTTCTGGAATTTCTTCCGACCCCTGAGGTTTATAGTTTAATACATTCAAAACATGCCACATTTATATCGTTCAAAACTGAAGAGGTTTTTTTTGTTAGTTTAACGGGTCCCCACCCGTAGGTACGAAGTCCCTTGTTGCGGAATCGACGCTAAAGTTGAAGGTTTGGCGCCAATATCTTATAATTTAATAAATTGTAAGTTATTCTATGAATTATTTTATTTATTGTTTTTGTTCGCCCTTTTCCGAGCTAAGATATTCACCCATGCAAGGTCGAAAATTGTTAGTACACTCAACAAGGCTCTTATTCTCACAAACCACAAACATCGGCACGAAGGAACAGTAAACGATTTTATTTAGATTACTTTTAAACTGAAATTATTTACAGCATAAATAGATTCCATTTAATGCATACACATGTTATATATTGTCTTTGTCAGATCAAATGAATGAGGAATAACTTTAGAAAAGAATTACAACAAGAAAACAAAATAATATGATTTAGTTAACATTAGTTAAATAATGAGAAAACATTTGCTTTACCTTTAATAACATTCTTTGTCACAGAACTCAAGAACCAAAATAATATCAATGCGTCCGAACGGTAGTCTATAAGCTATTATCTAACAACTATCACCTCTGTTCGTCGCCTGATTTCCCTCTCCCTAGTTTGTGAATAATATTTTAAAAATCAATAATTTTGTTTATGTATACAGAGTGTCTTAAAAATGAATGTTTTGAATTTAAATAAATATGTCTATTTTTAAATAGGCGGTTCATCTAAACTTTTTTATTTTTTCAGATAAAAAAACGAGATTTCGCATGTTAGTATATGATATAAAGTAGGATTGATTAACGTATTTAATTGTTTTTGATCACTTCACACATAGGCACCCAAAATCTCATTCAAATCGGGATAACGGTTTTTAAAATATCTGAAAAAATGCGTGTTTATTTTTTTAAAGTTTGAAGCACTTTTGCATAAATGTAAATTGTATCCAATGAACTTATTTTGATTTCAAAAATACTTAGTAGTTGTATGTCCACGGAATATTGGGACACCCTGTACAACACACTATCTACCAACACACATCCTGCATGTCCTGACTGTAAAAGCCGTCAAGTAATTAATAATATAGCCTTCCAAACTCTGTCAGATTTAGATTCAGAGTCTATCTCCGTTCCACCATGCCCCCAAAGCAAAACTGCCCTAGGGCTAGTTCAGCCCCTAAATAATTATCTGCCAGTAATAGCAGTTATTAAGATAAAAGGAACGACACGGATGATCTTGCGGCACTGACTGATTTCGGTATAACACATATGCCCTGGTGGGTGTTTAGCGAATAAAGGGGCTAATATGGTGTGTTAACTCTATGGATGTATTACTTAATTTAAAATCGTTCGTTTGGAATGATTAAATAATGTTTTATACTGTATAAAATGGGCATGTACAGTTCGTCTGCTGGATCTGTGTCTATGAAAGGAATGCGGACAAAAAACATTTAAATAAACAGCAATATATTGCTGTTTAGACTTGACGGGTACGTCACCGCAAATCGCTCCGCCCACTCATTTTATTGGCTACTTGCAAATTTGTTGAATTTTTATTGATGGGACGCGTCGTCTATTTTTTTACGAAAAACATCGAGAGAATATCGTTTCCCCTCTCACGGATACCCCGTAGCCCCAGAACGGACAGACGTACAGTAAGAACTACGGATATATTTACGAAGCTTTATGGTTGATTCTCACTATATAGTCTATAAAATGAATAACTTTGAATTTTGACCGTTATTTTTTACCAACATGGTAAATATAAAATCCCTCTGTCAAAAAAGTTACTGATATTCTTTAAATTGAGTGCCTGAACGAATCAGATAGGTAACTCTTTTTACTTTCGTGAAATAGAAAAGGACAATAATAAAACAAGTGACAGTTCTTCCTCTTCTTGCAAAAATCAACACAAAATGTCATAATTCTCAAAAGTAAAATGTCATCAGCTTTTGACATTTCTAAATATCAGACCAATGCCGTCTCTAATAGAACAGCCTCGGACCGAGATTTATGACGTCACGCTAGTTAGATACTACGGATTAATAAGTATGTTGTTATACATAGAAAACATAATTATTCGTCGTATTTTTGGTTTGTATTTTAAAAATGATATAGTTTACATGAAATATACGTAATATACAGTTAATAAATACAATATATATATATACCTATTTATAGTAATAAATACTTTGGCAAATAAACTATGAACCATACAAATGCAGCAAATGTTTTACAATATACAAATAATGAATAGGGACATAAGATAATGGGTAAAATGTAAAATATATTTTAAATTTTGGGGTTGTCGATCTAATCTAACAAAAAACATTCAATATCTACTAATAGTGATGTATTATTATTTGCATTCACAAAATTTATATGTATATTTTGCAAGTATCAATGTTCGAAAAATTATATTTGCAAATAATACACTATCATAGAAAAAAAGGAGTGATGGCCATGAAATAAAGATCGCTGTCATTTTATATGTAAAATTATTCTAAAATGTTTGATTTTTTAGGATAAATTTTGTGAATGCAAATAATAATACATCACTATTAGTAGATATTGAATGTTTTTTGTTAAATTAGATCGATTTTCAAACCCCAAAATTTAAAATATATTTTACATTTTACCCATTATCTTATGTACCTATTCATTATTTGTAAAACCTCCTATTCATTATTATACATATGTATATATATTGTATTTATTAACTGTATGTTATGTATATTTCATGTAAACTATATCATTTTTAAATACAAACCAAAAATACGAGGGAATAATTATGTTTTCTATATGTATTCAAAACATATTTATTTATCCGTACTATCTAACTAGTGTGACGTCAAAAATCTCGCTCCGTGGCTGTTCTACTAGAGACGGCATTGCGTCAGCATGGCCGCAAGTTGCTAACCTAATAAAATTAACACTAGAAAAGCCCGCGGGA